CAATATTAAACCGAGATAAACTTTATGAAGTTCCAAATACAGTTGAAAAAATGAAAGATTTAATTAGAGTGTTGGCTAGCATGTGGAGAGTAAAGGTGTGTTTTTATTTATGTATTAAAATTTATTAGTATAATACTAATTTTTGTTATCTACAAATAGAAAATGATCACAGACTGTATGGAGACAGTTAACACGAGTATTCAAGATCCAACCGAGTTCTTACAAGAAATAATCGGCATAGAATCGCCACTATCTGAAATAGACTTTCCGTGGTCTATTGATTCCATTATGATGTAATATACTATATACTGTAAATGAAATTTTATAAATTTACATGTATTTCCGGTTTTTCTTTTAACAATAAATCTAAATTTGGTGTAAAAAATTGTATTTATGGATATTTTTTGGTTTATTTCCATTATTAAGTTTTTTGAACACATGTTATGTATACTGGCTAGTGTTTCGATCCTATTTTTGACAGGCAATCCGGATTCTATTTAATCCGGATTGAATCCGCATCAAATTATATATAAAGTCAGCTTTTGGGCACATCCTTAGATCCGTTATTTAAGTTCGTTAACCAATCCGAATAAAAATCTCTAATCTTAATATTTAAATTTATCTGAATTTAAGAACCAATTTAGACAGTCAGATTTAGGATCGAAACACTAATACTGGCAATTATAAATAATGCTGCTAAAAAAAAATTTTATTAGATCGTATTATTATTATAAAGTGTATATACAAGATCCCCATATCGATATATCATGCCCACCTTTATTTTTTACTAATTCTTTTTTTATCAATTAATTTTTCGGGTGAAATGTAAGAGATCCGGGTCTTGTATATGCACTTTTATAGTATTTCACAAATTTGAAAAGATCATTACACACATTTAGACAGAAATTATGCAGATTGATATTTTAAAAAAATCAAATACCTTAATTTCACTGCTTATATCTCAATGAATTTCAAAGCTGTTTTAATAATATAATAGTAATTCATTAAGATATGAGTAGGGATGTTATCTAGTCTGGTCTTGGACCAATAGACCATGGTTCATCATATGACCGGTTTGAACCTAAGAAAAGATGATTCTATTCGGTATAGTCTCAGTCTAAAAAAAATTAGACTATAATCCGAACCAAAATTTTTAACCGGTTTAAGACTAATTACAAATAAAACTATAGTTTGAACCATGGTTTTAAATTGGCTTCAAAACCATGATTTAAATTATAGTATTAATTTGGCTCCAAAATCATGAGTCAAATCATGGTCTTAAATCGGCTCCAAAACTATGATTCAAATCATGGTTTTGGAGCTGACTTAAGACCATGGGTTGAATTAAAATTTTGAAGCTAATTTAAGATCATGGTTTAAACTATAGTTTTGAAACCGATTTAAGACCATAGTTTGAATCATAGTTTTGGAGCTGACTTAAGAGCATGGTTTGACTCATAGATTTGAAGCCGATTTAAAGCCATGATTTAAATCATGGCTTTGAAGCTAAGTTAATACCATGATTTAGATCATGGTTTTGGAACCGATTTAAGACTTTAGCTTGAATCATGGTCTTAAATTGGCTTCAAAAATCATGGTCTTAAAACGGCTTCAAAACCATGATTCAAACCAAAGATAGAACCAAAACTGTAAACATATTTAAAAAGTTATAATCTAGAATATATAATAATATTCATTATTTTATTGTGATGCTGTATACTAAATTACAAGAATATGTGAAAGTCATAGTTATAATATTAAAATATGTGAAGTATTTTTTTAACAAGACAAAAAAGCAAGTACTAACCCAAAACCAGGAAAGCCTTCGTTCGGAGGGACCATGTTCTGAGCCTATTCAAAGAGACAATTTTAGAATTATCGAGAAGGTTATTGTCCTTTTTCTTGCGATAACTTACAAGGCCATTCGACATCCAACTCCTCCATGTACTCGCTCATAGTAATGTCATCGTCCAGTAAATCAGACATTTTTGTTCTTTTATTGTTGAAGCGTCCGGAAAAGATTTTTGCTTGTTAGATTTTTAGATCGTAGCTACGGGTTAATGATTTCCGAATTAATTAGTGCGCTTTACTTGGAAATCACATAGAAATGTTTCTCTCAATATATTTAAACACTTTTAACATAAAATATTTATATAAAATAATTAAAAACGTCTGACCTAGAATAGAATGAGAATTTCTTTTAAGAATATGGCTATAATTATAATTAAACCACTATCGAAAAATTTGCTATACTCGAGATTACATGGATGCATTTTATTTGTTAAAGTAATTGTACTTGAAGTATTTTGCATATGTATATAAAATTTTGATTATACTTCGTTGAACACACATGTGAAGAGTATGTTTAATCAAATCGTTATAATTACTTTTTTAAAATTATATTGACTATGTACAAAATGGCTAAGCCGTTTTCTAATTTAAAAATGAAATATTGCAATTAATAATGATAATTGAAATAAATTGAAAAATGATGCAAAACATGCATAGGTTTGAATATACGCGTAAGTTAAATGCGTCGTAATAATCATAAATTTATACAAAATATCGGTTGAAAACACTATACGTAAAGGACCTTCTAAGGTCATTTCTGCTTTGAAATGACCAATGACTACGTATTTAATTTTGGTTAAAAATATTTTGTACTCTATTTAGATGTTTAACAACAATGAAGCCGAAAAAACCAACATAAATGAATCACATGAGAAAAATTGCCAGAATTTTTACGGGTTTTTTTGATGTTGAAATTTGTTTAATTGTAATTGTGATTCGTTTATTATCTTTAACATTTAAAGATGCGCTATCAACCAATTTTTTGAACAACTCATAATTGACCCGGTATGAATTTGCATTGGATAAAGGTATATTTAGGAAGCTTTTTTTTTTGAAAATTTTTTGATAAGCTAACATTTTCGCATTTTTTGGAAATGACTGATTTATGGAATTGACGTCCGAGTTTATTTCATATTTGGGAAACACTTGATAAACGAAATTGATTGGTTATGTTCGATTTACGGAGTTCAGATTTAATAGTTTACTAATATTTGGGAAATGCTTTTTTTGAAAATAACTAATTTATGGAGTTGGTAATAATTGACAACGGATCCCTAATTTCTCTCCACAGTTCTGATTGGACATTGTAAATCCGTCTCTGATTGGACAAAGTAGGCTACGCCACTCTTTGTCTACCAATCAAAATTATAAAATCAGGTGTATTCAACTAGTGTTCCAAATCGTTACAATTCCGAGAAATTCCGTCTGGTCGGGCAGATCCGTATTAATTCCTTTTGTTTGATTGGCTAATCATCTGATGATGCCACGTGATGTGAACAATCGATTAGTTGCGATTGGTAAAATATTTATCAACTCGCAAAATTTTAGTATAATACATATCTATTAGACCTTTATACTGTTGATCGAAAAACAGGATTTTTCTTCGTCCAATAGGAACTATGGGGAGAAACATGTTTGTAATATTTATTCTATTTAGCCTGACGGGTTCTAATACTAGTATGACATGAGGATAATTGATTTTTGGAGTATTGACAAGAAAAATTCCATGAAATAAGAATTATAGAATTATACGTAGGATAATTAGAGTGTTATGTTTTTATTTTAGCTTAGAGGATAGGGGGGTACGGCTTAATAAAATTTAAATAAATGTACAGAAATAGACCAAAAATCATTTTAACGTCTAAAGACAAAAAAACGAACCGTACTGATTTATTCTTGTACCACTGTACCACTGAGTCACGGATATAATTTTATAATACCGACACTGGCAATGTATTAGTTTTCTTTCAGATTGCTTTCAAACTTTACTCGTTAAATTAGTCGAAATGCGAAGATTTTCGGATTTTTGGCTATTATACGTATTTTTTATAGTTTTAAGACAGTTCCTTGGTTGTACTGCCTTTGATTGTTCTGAAGTAACTGTTGGAAAGAAAACGTTTAATTTCGATCCACTAAAAAAGTTAAGATTTGTTCGTGACTTGTTATTTTATGCTATAATATTCGGAAAACTATTAGATTTCTTTAGAGCTTTCAAATGATCACGCGTTTTTTAATGGCATTTATTAATTTCTTAAAAAACAGAGAGTGGATTAAGAGCATAGTCGGAAAACCGTCTCCGGCAATAGAGAATACAACGTACTATATAAATATCTGTGAGCCATTACATTATGACCAAAATCTAGGGAAAGATACATGTGACGATGGTACTAATATTTGTGTGGTCACGAACTACACGAAGGGTGATAAATGGATGATTGCTGATGTCAAACAGATTGTTACGAATTCCACAGATTTTCAAGCAACATATTATGAAAGCAAAGAAGGTGAAAGAATATTTTCATAAATCACGCGCGGACTATTGTCATTAAATGTGGTTATGAATAATTCATGCAAGAAATACTATTTTAATAGGAATAGAGTCTCTCGAAATCATATTGCACGGAGGTAAATATAAAGATGAAGATCAAAAAGCAAATATTATTCTCTTTCTGGGTGTGAGTACTCTCTTCCACAAGTCGAAATGAAAAGTATTATATTTTGTTAACAGCGTTTTTGATCTTTTTATCAAGCAAAAAAATCTTTCTGACCCCGAGATAACGGGATACAAGGACAATACATTATTTATAAAATGGAACACTACCATTACCTGGTACGCTGATTCTTCACTATATAGATTATTTTAAATTTTCATCTAATTGTCTTAAATGTCCCATCAATATGTAGGACTGAAGATAAAAAATCGTGGAGTTTATTTTCGATGTTTTTGTCCTTGTGCGTAGAAAAGCCACAATTGAATTGTCATTGTTTACATTCAAATTTGGATTAAAAAATATGCATTTATTTATTTTGTAGAATATTTATTGGTTTCCTGGGATATTTAATCATAGGAATGGTCTACAATCATCACACTTACAATTCACACGGATGGGATTTATTACCGCATAGGTTTGTCAATAATATTCTGATTTATTTGGAAACAGAATTACTTGAACGTTTAATAATCTCAGAAACTATCAAATTAAAAGGGATTTTTGGAGAAGTGTTCCACACATGCTTTCGGTATATATTGTTTCATTTTGCTGATTAAAAAATATTTCGTTGAAACTTTAAAGGTCGTATTTCGAACTCATCTATTTTAATTGTAGGACCTTTCCAAAAATTTACTAAATTACATATCAGGGCACTATCGAGGGTATTCCCAAGTATGAAATTTGGAATATTTAATAATAGTAATGGTTTTTATAGTACAGTGCAGACAACTTAATCCCGACAAATAAATTTGACCAACTTCAAAATGCTAATCCTTGTTCATAAGAAACAATAAACAAAATATCTCTTCATAGAGCATTAAAACCATGCAAGCTAAACATCTTGGTGGTCTTAAATTATTTTTAATAAAATAGTAGAGAATTAAAGTCGAGGCAATTTTATAATTAAATAAGCAATTTGGCCGTTTAAAATAGATTATTAAACAAGCAAATTTGGTCACTTTACACACTAAATTCGACCGCTCTATATGTTAAATCTGGCACTCTATATATTAAATTGACTACGTTAAATTAAATTTTCAAATTTGGCCGTATCATATATATAAAAAATTAAATTTTAAATTTGGCCGCTAAAATTTTCATTTGTTGGGACTAGGTTGTCCGCACTGTAGCTATTGGTATTATGCACGAAATCAGCTGATATACGGATATAAGTTCACAATTGCGATTATATTAGCTTCTTTTTTTTTTTTCTTATTAAATAATTTATAAAAGTTCATTATACTTAGAATTTTATTTTTGATTCATTTCGCATTTAGTTTTTCCACAAATATATGATGTTTGTCGTGTTTTTATAAGTTTAATTGATTCATTGGGTTTAAGAGAATAAAAAGAACGTTAATTTATCCCTAACAGTTAAAATAAATTTACAAAATTTATAATTTATTCATGAATAAAAATGTGTAAAAGATCTATAATAATTAATCACTACAAGGAAAAAATTTATTCTCAAAAGCTAAATTCTTATAAATAATCCTAATTCGTTTAAAATGAAATAAATAATTAAATCCATAATGAAATAAATGTTGTCGAAAAGAAATAGGAATCTATACAATTACCTCAAATCGATCGGGCATCAGCACTGGTCCAATCAATGACCATGTGTATAATAAGAAGCAAGCCCAGCTTGAAATGACCTTGACCCATACGGCAATAAACGTTTGTCCAATTTTAACGAGTTCACCATTGTCGTTGTCCTCCGTAGAAACGTTATTCCTATCATTGTCAAGATTAAGTACTGAGCAATAAAAATACGTATGTGGTATATATCTGATACTTACCAATTTGTAAGAAGCATCGCAACATACATAGACGCGATAGCGAAGATGAGATGGAAAAATACATAACTATAGGCGACACCACTTCTTTCGTCGTCACGGCCATAATCATCGTCGTCGTCTTCATCTAGTGCTGAAGCAGGCATTGCACTTTAAAGAACAAAATAACAACGTTATAACAAGTTCAAATACAACAAGAATAATTTATTATTCGTATATTACTCACCCACTTTCAACAGAAGCAGCCAACACCGAATCAGATCGCATGTTGGGATTGAATCCGTTTGGCTGGTTAGTCATCAAAGGCACTGCTGTTGCAGTATTTAAAGGATGATAATCCGATTTAGTTATTAATGCCTTGCCTTGACTAGCGGCTCGTGTCGTCGAATATGCAATCGCCAGGAAGGTAAATATTGCCCCTATAACGATAGTGGTTGTACGAGTTCCACTGCTTTTTGTCAACGGATTGCACTCGCCCGGTTCATTCGCCACCGCGCTTGTGATTAAATATGTACAATAAACAACAACAATTGAAGCCTGTGAAAGTCCAGAACGGGGGTTTGCGTATTGAACGTTAGGATGAATGCATGCGACTGTCCCGATAACACATAGTATGAGATTGAATGTGATAAAGAATTGATTGAGACGACATTCACTTCCTGCAAAGTAACCATACATGATACCAGTAAGAATAATCGCAAAACAAAACAAAGAAATTGTGGATCCAACAAGAATATATTTCCATTTATTGTCCTCGGTTTCTTCAAATCTCTCAATGCAAGCTTCACTCCATGTATGTGCAAAGTCAACTAAAAGTATCAAACCAACTATAATAAACAAGCTAGCACCAATTAAAGCGATATAATTTCCCCAGAACATGAAAAATCCATTAGGAATAAAAAAGGAAATTATAATAAGAATTATCCATGTCAAGACTTTAGGTCCCCACCATCTATAAAATGTAAATGCTAGAATGTTAGATATAAAATATATAATGGGTTATAATGCGTTAAATTTTATACTAAATATTTGTATTACCCGTTTTGGATGGCAGCACGCTTATCGCGAGTATCATTAACTTTGATGACTAGAAGTCCTAAAATAAAATGGAACAATGAAAGTGCAAAGCATATACGATGTACCTATATAATCCAACCAAACTCGATAAAATTAATTTTAATATTACATTAAAAGATATATATATTGAAAATTTTTAACTTACTGCTAGTACACCATAACAAATTCCATTCTCCTCACAAGTTAATTTTAGATAATCAAATCTCATTTTTTCTAGTTGTTTTAATGCCCAATCTGATAACATTATCCAAGCAAGCTGCAATTGTTGAAATAAAATAGTGCAATAAGATTTGTATTCAATATACGATAATGTATAATGAATATATAAAACGGAAAACTTGCGATTGAATTCATGATAAATATAAGCTATATAAAAAAAAAAAAAAGGTCAATAATTAATATGTAGTGTGAACGTAGAAAATACAAAGATTAGAAGAGAAATATTTACAGCAAAGCCGACTCTCGTCGCAATGGAATTATTACAGTTACATGACTTGAATGCTAAGTTACAAGCAGCTGCAGAAAAGCAAGAAGCGACCGCAGAAGTCACCCAAGAAGCAGCACCGAGGCCGAGGCAACTAAATCCAAGACCCATTTTCGTGAATTTACGAAAGATAAAGCAGAACACTTAGTAATTGTGTCAAAAAACGCAAGAATTTGTAGGCTATAATCGGTTTTATAATATTTTATGCTATTTCAGGCATTTAATGTTAACATACGTAATTACGTTAAAAATCACATGCGCAATGCATTACACACAAATATGTCGTGCCTCTTGCCTCAGATGTCAATCGGCTTAAGTCTAGGGGCGTCTAAAGCAGTGTAGATTCATATATTATATAATAGCGATAGGGTTAGTTAAATTGCCTTCGTGCGACTCCGTTTTTCAATCATTATCAAATTTCTGTAAGCTGATTGGGTGCGTGTCACGTGATACATTCCGCTTTAGACGATCCCTAAGTTAAGTAAGTTAAGTTAACGTTAAGGTTAAGGTAAGGCCGATCAATGTCAATCAGTTAATGATGGCCAAAAAACCAACATCTGAGGAGGTCGGCTAAAGCGGTACGAGTTTTGAAATTTTATTAGGGTTAGGACCATTTTGAGGTTATATTGAATAGGTGCTATAGTTCCCCCAACATTTTTTATTAATGTAAAGTGATTTTCATATTTTTCTCTTTTTTAGTTTGGGCTGATTTGTCATACCGCCGAGTACCTCGGCCGAAAAATCGAGAATTTTCCACTTTATTCATAATTGAAAAATTTTAAGTACGGATTATCGTTACGGATATTAAAATTAATTTTATCGAGTTTGGTTGGATTATATAGG